AACTTAACCTACTCAATCCATTAATTAGATTAATTCGGTCAAAATCATAATTATATATCTATATTATTTTTTACATATTTTATTACATATATATAATTTCATATAAAATTTATCTTTTAATCGAATGACATTTAAACACATAAAATTGGGGATCATGCCGCCAAATTAGAATTAAAGGTGTGCTTATGAAAAATATATATATATATACTACGAGGTAGTAGTTAGTACAAATTAGAATAAAATACGTGTATTTTTTTAATAAGAGAATCTTTAGGGAGGTTGAAGCTAGAAATTTGTCGCCTCTGGTTCAAACATGTCTTGAGAACGGGAGAGTGCCGTTTATCATGGAAATTCATCATTTTAAAATCTTTGTAATTTAAATATATATATATATATAATTTATATTTATATATATATATATTATTGATAATTTATTTTAATCTCTTAAAATTTAAATAATAATTAAAATGTATTTTTTATTGTTGTATTGATTTCTAACTTTACAATTTTAAAAAGCCAAATCATCATTCATCATTTTAAATGGTAAAATATAATATTTTTATGTACTAACTTATAAAATGATAATTTTCAGAAGTACCTCTTTACAACTTTACCAATTTACGGGATTGCCCTTACCAATTCATTTGGATTCGTCTAGGTTATACTAAGTAATGGTTAATTCTTACAATAATTATTTGAATACATATTTCTCGGTACTTATAATTATTAGTTTTTGATGATAATTATACTAGTAACTCAAATTGATTATAATTGTTTTTAAAAATAGATACTAATATTTTATAAATCCTTTATGGTTTAAATGTTAAAACGGATAAAAGAGAAACATATTAAGTAGTTTTAGTAATTAGATAAAATATTGTTTTTTAAAAGTCATAAATTTAAGCAACTGTATCAGTAAGATGTGTGTGCATTGCCAATGATAAAGAAAACTTATAAACAAATAATACCTTATAATCATTCCACTATTAAAAAAAAAGATGTGCAAGTTTATTTATTTTATTATGTATTCATTTATGTTAACCCCTCTTTGAAATAAGGATCTTGTTTGCAAGTATTAGCCCCCTTGGCTACTAAGCTATTTGGAGGGTACCGTATGATATCTCCTTCTCTTTTTTGTTTTTAAATCATTCATAAAAATGCAAGGATGTAACCAAAATTAAATATTGATAGACGCTGAAATATTAGACTATTTAAGAAAAATATAAAGACTTATTAGGTATTTAAACTTGAAATTTAGCATGAACAAGCGACCTTAGTGATTAGTGATTAAGGGTATTGTTGTTATCTTTGAGGTCCCGAGTTCAAGCACTGTGTATGTAGTGGTATGAGCGTTATTGTCAAATAGTTGAAAGTTTTTGCACATATACTACCTTGTATTCACTTTAAATTTATAATAAAAAAACTAAAAATTCACAAGACAACTTCTAATTTGTCTAATATTTAAACTTACAATGACCTAAATTGTAATTAGACTAAAAATTTGAGAACAAGTACTTATCATTCTTTAGTTCGACCACTACTTGATTAAATATTTAATAAAAAATTATATCTTTTAAATTTAAATTTAAATTTTTACATTAACTAAAATACTTTAAAATAAAATTATATCGAATATATAAATTTTAATAGGAGTCGGTGCCCTTTAGACCCTAAGGGAGCTCGGTCCCTGCAAAAATGGATTAAAATTGCTTCATAATTAGTTCATCCATCCTAACCCCTCTATAATTTTGCATTTTGGCTGTTTAAGCCTCCACCTTTCTATTTGTTTTTTAATGTGACTTCAAGCTTTTGCCTTATAATTAAGCGGGATCCAATGATGAGGTTCGTTACTTCAATCAGGCACACAAATAGTTTGGTTAACACATTAATTAGAGAATATGTTGCAATTTTGATACAATCAAACGGTCCAACTACATATATATGTACATATACGGTCCCCACAAATGAAGTTCTATCATTGTTGATGATTGGTGGGTTTGTGATAATTTCCTTAACGTTAGGAAATACACTCAATGGATAATTATTACGAATAATAATAAGTACACGATTAAAAAAGAAGAAGAAGAAAAAAGATAAACTACTAATGATAATTAATAAAGATTTATATTTTTCTTCTCAATTTATTTATTTACCAAATAATATAGTATATTTTTAGGTCATATCGAGAGAGAAAACTAATCAAAATTTCCACCATAGTATATTTATATAGTGTCTAATATTTTAAAAATGGTATAGATTTATTGAGTAGTTTTTTTTTTTTTTAACGAGGAGTTTAAAATATTTGAAGGGGACACCTAAGAAGAAGATGAGATTGTAGTAAGGAAAGTGGACCCTTTAAGGGATTGTTTGTTTACTTCAGAATGATTAAACGTTGAATGATTCAAATGTTGAATGATTCAGAGGCTCTGTATGAATTAGCTCTGAATGTGACATGCTGTTTGATAATGGTTCTGAATCATTCAGATATGCGAAACAAACGCGCTGAATGCTAAACAATTCAACATTCAGCGTTGAATGATTCCATTAGAAGGCAAACAAACAGCTTTATGGTTTGGATATAGCCTATAGGCTCGACTTATACAATCTAAAATTCCCCTTAGTTGTATACGAGGTCAAACCATGTTCTAGAAAGGGACCGACACTACTAGACCCTCACTTATATATATATTGTTAGAAAATATTCTTAATATTTAATTAAATAATTGTTTAAAATTTTATTTTTAAAAATATTTTTGATTTCCAATGGTTTATTTTAAGGATAAAAATATTTTGATTGGATGAAATTTTTAATAAAAAATGATTAACACTTCAAAATATGAGATTTTTCTCCCCAAAATAAAACATTAGGAGTTAAAATGCTAAAAAAATAAAATTATTATTAAATCAAATATTAGAGACATATTTTGAAACACATAATAACAAAATTATTTCACAATGTTTGCAAAAATATCACTTTATCCCATTTTTTTAATATTTTAATCCTCAATATTTTATTGTTTTCATCAAAACATTTCATATTATATAAAAATCGTTAATTGATTAATGATTAATAAAATACTGCTAACATTTACTATTACTAATACAACTAAAGTCTCATTAATGGCATGATTATTTATAAGGGCGAAGGATAGTACAATTTTTTTTTCGTAAAAGAACAATACAAAACAATATTGGTGGTGAAGATAAATGTCAAAACACTGCCGTGATCATTCTAGGCGGTTAGATGTATGAAACATGACATACATTAAATATATACAATATTAATTCAAAATTTAAAATATTAACTTAAATTTAATTCATTTTATTCATTTATTAAAAATAATATATATTTATATTTTCTTAGATATTATATAAATTTGTAGTATGATCTTCAATTTTTATCTATTAACCTATTAATTTAAATAAAATATTATAATATCTTAAGTATAATTTAGATTTTAATAAATAAATTATATATGATTAAATTAAATCAAAATCCTTCAAATTTAGACCAAACACTTATATCTAGTTAGTTATCCTAATTATTTGATAATAAATATTTATATATCTTTACATACGTAATACTCAAACCTAAGATCTCAAATAATAACAATAATCCCTTACCTAATAAGATCAATTGGTTCATTATCTCTATTCTCGAATTACTCTAGATCTTATTGTTGTTCAATCGAATTATAGTACTTAATTGAATAAAAAACCTTAAAAAAGTGAAGTTAAGAAGTAGGCTAAAGGCAGAGTCGGTCATGTGGCACATATATCCACAATCATGTGCCAATGTTATTGAAAGAACTCCTCTCAAAGCAAAGTTAAAATAAATAAATTAAACATGAATCGTGTGGCTTACGAGAGTTATAGAAGAGTAACTTTTGGGGAGTCAAATTATTTTTTGGTTCTTGTACTTAATCAATTTGGAGATTCAGTCCTTGTCCTTGTACAAAATCATAATTTGATACCTTTTTTTTTTATTGAAACCGGGATTGCTTCTTCGTGTTCCTCGGACGATAGACGGTGGTTGGATGAATTATGAATGCTCACTATTTAAGGGAAACACGTAATAAATCTCCAGACGTAGTGAAATTAAGTAATGACATAAATAAATACTCCCCAGTTATAGGAAGCAGTAAATGAAAAGGAATCGTTCATAAATCACTCCCTTTGGCCTTTGAAACCAATAGATTAAACAACGTATGACTTTTTGATATCTAATATATTGATATATGTTAATCACGTAAGCTTTAATTATATTAAAAATTAAGTCGAATTAAATCTTTTAAATAATACCAAACTATTATTTTTTATAAAAACCATAAATTTTATATAAAATACATTAAACTTCTCATAAAAAGGCATATTATGTTTCCAAAGTAGAGTGTTAGAATAATATCACCATCAAAGTAATGGTAGGTTCAGCTTGAGAGTCTGAGAATTTATGGTCAGCACCAACCAAAACCCACAAAAGACCCTAAGTTTTAATGGCAAATTCAAACAACCATTTATAAAGGTGAGGCTTTATAGGCAAAATTCAAATGTAATCAGCAATAAATAACTAGAAAGATGGTTTTCTTCTTACACTTTGGGGCCAAGCAATTTGCAATTAAAGCCACAACCAGGTGGTTGAACCCACGAATCTATCAATAAAATGGTCAAATTATGGTTTTTAATTTTTTTGTTATATTAATATTTAGGATTTAATTAATAAATCTTTTTTATTTAATAATTAAAATAAATTAGATATAATAATTTAATAATGATGTAGAGTTAGTTTATCCTAACTTATTTGGGAAGGTTTGGGATAGTGAAAGAGAGAGAGAATCTAAAACAGTGAGATGCCAGCTATGAATTTGAAGGATCAAATCATTCTCTGAGGTCAAATCTGGCATTGCAAATTTTCTTTCGTTTATAGGGCATTGTTCTCTCCCCTTATTTACTACTCGGATTTTAAATCAATCCTCCATTTTCCTCCTCTCTATCCCTCTCCCGCTCTAAACTCCCATTTTCCCATCCTTTTATTTATTAGAGAAAGGAAAAAAAACAAAAGATTATGTTCATGCTTTGAGAGGAAGGAAGAGAAAGGAGAGAGATGTGTTAATGGTTGATCGAGTTTTTGATTCTTCCTCCACAAGACTAAGAAGAAGAAAAGAAAACAACCCCATGGCTGTTTCTCCTTGTTTGAGTGGTAATGATCAAAAGAAACGCTGGTGGCTTACAAATAGAAAGGTAAAAAAGAGTCGAAGCTTTGATCTTTGATCCTGTTTTTGTTCATGTTCTTAACATTGATATGTTTAGGTTGTTGATAAGCACATTAAGGATGCGAGGAGTCTCATCGCGACGCAAGACCAAAACGAGATCGTTTCAGCTCTGAATCTCCTCGATGCGGCATTGGCTCTCTCGCCTCGTTTCGAGATCGCCCTTGAACTCAAAGCGAGATCTTTGCTGCATCTGAGGCGTTTCAGAGAAGTAGCTGACATGCTTCAAGATTACATCCCGAGTCTCAAGATGTCCAGCGACGACTCTGGATCGGTTTCATCGGATAACTCGTCTCAGCGAGTCAAGCTTCTCCCTTCCGATAACTCCTCCTCCGACTCACCCGGTCGTGACCCATCTTTCAAATGTTTCTCTATATCGGAATTGAAGAAGAAAGTCATGGCTGGATTGTGGAAGAACTGCGAGAAGGAAGGCCAATGGAGGTAAAATTTCCACCCTTGACTTCACTGATTTTGTTCTTTATTTTGAATGGTGTTATTTTGAGTAAAAAGTTACAGTCATTGAACTTGATTGAGCTCACTCAATTTCGAAATAGGTACTTGGTTCTGGGTCAAGCATGTTGTCACCTAGGCCTAATGGAGGACGCCATGGTTCTCCTTCAAACCGGTAAGCGCCTTGCTTCCGCTGCATTCCGCCGAAAGAGCGTTTCCTTATCCGAAGACAGCTTCTCCCTTCCCAACACCATCACCGCATCCGACATCTCCACCGCTGCCACAACGCCTCCTTCCACGACACCACGGAATCTAACCCCTTTCTCCGAATCCGAAAACATTTCCCAGCTTCTATCCCATATCAAATTCCTCATCCGCCGTCGAACTGCCGCCATTGCTGCATTAGACGCGGGCTTATACTCGGAAGCCATCCGCTATTTTTCGAAAATCGTCGACGGTCGTCGCCCTTCCCCTCAGGGATTTCTCGCTGAGTGCTATATGCAAAGATCCTCCGCTTACAAGGCATCGGGACGTATAGCCGAGTCAATCTCGGATTGCAACAAAACTCTTGCTCTGGATCCAACTTGCATCCAAGCTCTCGACACCAGGGCCTCACTTTTCGAAACGATACGATGTTTACCGGACTGTTTACATGATCTGGAACACTTGAAACTGCTTTACAATACCATTTTGCGAGATAGGAAGCTTCCAGGCCCTGTCTGGAAGCGTCACTATGTACGGTACCGGGAGATTCCCGGTAAACTCTGTGCATTAACAACTAAAATTCAACAATTGAAGCAAAGGGTTGCTTCTGGAGAGACCGGAAACGTTGATTACTATGCATTGATTGGTTTAAGGCGAGGGTGTTCAAGGTCTGAATTAGGTAGAGCTCATTTGTTACTATGTTTAAGGCACAAACCGGATAAAGCTACCAACTTTATCGAACGATGCGAGTTCACTGATGAGCGTGATCTCGACTCGGTTAAAGACCGAGCCAAGATGTCAGCATTGCTTCTTTACCGGCTGCTTCAAAAGGGTTATTCCAGCGTGATGGCTACTATTATCGATGAAGAAGCGGCCGTGAAACAAAAGAAGAAAGCCGCGGCTGCTTTACAAGCAGCACAGGCAGCACTTCAAGTGCAGCAAACCCAATACTCCATCACTAATCCGGAACCTGAAACCAGCCCTGCTTCGACAACGAATGCATCAAACGCTTCTAGCTGCAAAACCAGTGTTAAATCCAGTGAAAACAAAGCCACAACAAATGTGTTTCAAGGTGTATTTTGCAGGGATCTATCCGCTGTTGGGAACTTGCTATCGCAAGTTGGGTTTAATCGACCACTTCCAGTGAAATACGAGGCATTAAGCTGCTAATTTAGCCATTGGGAATCGATTATGAACCAAGTTTTCTTGAGTTATTTTTACCGGAGTGGAATCTCTGCTTCATTCTTCCTATTTGTACAAAACGTGATTAATTTGTCTGCTGGGAAATTTTGTCACCCTATTTCTTTCATGTTATCCACTACCCTTCCCCTATATATTACTTCTGATTATTTAAATTTTCTACTTTTGGCTACATTTTCTTTGGGATTCTGCTTATGCTTTTGGGTTTGCATTTCATTACCCTCAACTTTGATTGGGAAATGAGTGGGCAGGGAAAGAAAAGAGAGGCAGAAGCAACTGTGGATTGGATTTTTATATTTGTCTTGTGTGTTGCCTTTTAAAATCTTCTCTGCTTCCCACCACCCAACGTTTTCTAAATTTGATTATTTTTTTATTAGATTCTTAAAATATTTATTAGTTATGTTATGTTATCATTTTAACCATTAAATAAAATATAAAATATATTTAAATTACGTTAATCAAATTATACTTCAATGTGAAGTGATGCCATTGGTATTGGATCACACCCCATGGCTTTAATGGAATTGTGTGAGAACTATTAAAACCTAGGATATAGTACACAAATGGTCCCCAAGTCTATGCTAATGCTTTGTTGAGCTATATGATTATTAAAAGTTATAAAATGATCATTCGACTATAGGGTATTGTTTTGTTGAGTCATGGTCGCCTGAATATTATATGTTCCAAACTTGTTTTTTTTCCGTTAAAAATTTGATGACCTTTCGGGTGCATTTCGTGTTTGACCCCAACTTATTGACTGAGATATGATAAAATATGATATCAGAACCATTTCAGGAGTATTTCGTGGATCGAGTCTCCATTTACATTATGTCATTGAGTAGTGCTTGAAACATTATGTTGTCGAGTCAGTGATATAAGTTACGACGGTGTCAATAGACATCATTAAAATAAAATTTTATCGTATCTTAGTCAATAGGTTAACGTCCAGCTCAAAAGACAATCAATTTTTAAGAAAAAGAAGAGTTTGTAACATATGAATAGTTGGATGATCATTTTATAACTTTTAATAGTTGAAGGACTGAATAAAATAGTATCCTATAATCGATGACTATTTGTATACTTTACCCAAAATCCTATGAAGATGAATAAATAAAAGGCGAATGTTAACCTACTAAATAGGCAAGGTCCCTGTGTGCCTAATGCAACAAAAGGCGTCGAATTACAAATATATTTAGATATAGAAAGCTTACGACTTTGCCATCATTTGGGCATAGTTTTTTATGCAAACAACTCCACTGTTTCCCCCATTGCATTCCTCAATGCACATAATTGCACATGATGGGGTTGTTGGGTTTTTGTAAAATGGCATTGCATTTTTCCAGAAAAAAAAAACCACAGGTGAAAAATCAGTGTAATATAATCATTGTTTATCGATGAATTTTAAATATTAAACAGTAATTATTAATTTTATTAAATTATTTTAAAATTTTAATGATTGTTTTGTAATATTTGAAATTTTATTGACTTAAAAGTTATTTTGATATAATTTAATGGTTTTTTATTCTAAAAATAACAATTCTTTAGCTTTCATCTTATTTTTTTTATGTTTAAACTTTTAATTTAGCTTTAATCCCTTTGATGATGTGATATAATATTAAGATGTTACATCATTTAACTAAAATAATAAAAGTTTAGGGGTTAAATTAAGGGGGAAATTATTACATTTAAAGGTAATTGGAATCAAAATAAAATTCAAGAATCCAACTGAAAAAAAATGCTAATTTAAAAATTAGAAGTTAGGGTAAAAGAAACTAGATGGGTCATGTGGGAAATTAGTACTAGTGATGAAGATTAAATATTTTGTATTAAAGAAAGAAAAGGGGTTAACTAGTGGATTAGGTTTGGTTGTTTCATAGTGATAACTTGTCTTAGAAGATGGAACCATCACCTCACCATAATCCCATAAAAGATTTAACACTAAAATGGCAAATAAGCCAATGTGGAATTCGTCTTTTGAATCAATCGACAATTAAGTTGATGATATAAGATTTAGATTAAAACCCTTTAAAAATATTAATTTAATTAAGACTCCATTGACTAAATAAATATTTAAAAGAATAATTAATGTCAATGGAATTCTTACGACATTAATCTAGACTTGAAAAATTAACTTTTTTAAAAGGTTAAAAGAAAAAGGCTTCTCATCCCTTTGATTGGAAGTGATTTATGTTCCCTCTCTCTTTTATCCTTAAAAAGCTCCCCTGCCCTTCCACGCTACTCAAGCATTTTGCTTAGCTTTACTTTACTCCTTACAGATTGAGACAATTCAAACTAAAACCATAAACTAATAGGTTTATTTTTGAATTTCATCCCTATAATTTACAATAATGTGGTAACATAGTCCAACTACTTAACCAAAAACCAGCATATTATCTCTATGATAAAATAATAAGTTTGTTTTTGATTTATGATTTACTTTTTATATAATTTTCTAAAAAATCCATACCTATAATATAAGATATTGTGATCCATTAAGACCTACTTAATATTCAAACAAGTTTGATCTCTTTGTAGTATATGCATATATTCATTTAGTTAACGTAATGTTGTTTATTTTATTGATATATTCGGTTCACCTTTTTAAAGCAACTTTTGTTTTTCTTGTGGCGAAAGATGTTGAAATGTCAAAGTTTGAAAAATTGGTTTAAGTTAGGCACCTAATATTGCAATGTCAAAATTAGATACAACAATGTCAAAATTAGGTGCAATAATGTTTGAAAATTAAATGGGTAAATTATAAACTTTAGTCACTAAACTTTAGGGTATTTATAAGATTAGTCCTTAAGTTTCAACTATAAATACCCTAGCTCATTTAGCTTCAAAATCATCCCAAAGCATTCTAGCTTTCTTCCAATACTAGAGAGAATTTAGAGAGTTTCTTGAGAGTTGTTTTCTCCTTTTTATTGAGAGAGAATTATCATTGTTTTCTCCTTGGTAGATCGAGAGAGGTTGTAATTCCTATTTTCTCATAGTGAAATTCTTCTACCGTTGCCTGTGGTTTTTACCCTATTTTATTTAGGGGTTTTCCACGTAAATTTTGTGTCTCTTTTTATCTTCATTTTTATTTTCTCAAATTATCAGTTGCGATTTTACTCTATCCGATAGCCGTCTTCAGCAACAATTGGTATCCGAGCTAGATTAGAGTGTGTAATATCTGCTTATTGTCTTTGTGGTTGCCACCAAAAGGTGGATCCTCCAACATAAGAAAGTAAGAAGTTATTACCCATTCTTTGAAGGTTCCAGAGAACTATTCACGATAGTGAAATAGTGGGAGCTATCCGTAAACGAAGCAATGGCAACGAAATTTGATTTTGAAAAATTCAATGGGAGAAATTTCTCATTGTGGAAATTGAAGATGAAGGTCATCCTAAGGAAAGACGGGTGTCTAGCGACTATCAATGAAAAGCCGGTGGATTTCGCAGATGACATCAAATGGAACGAGATGGACGGGAATGCTATGACAAACTTTCATCTAGCATTAGCAGATAAAGTATTGTCAAGCATCGAGGAGAAGAAGACAGCTAAGGAGATATGAGATCATCTCACCAAATTGTACGAGCCACATCGCTGCACAATAAAATTTTCCTTAAGAGGAAATTGTATACTCTCCGTATGCCAGAATCTACTTCAGTGACGGAGCACTTAAATACACTGAACACCTTATTTTCTCAGCTTAAGCAGCTTACATCCTTAAGCTGTAAAATATGAAAACAAGAACGTGCTAAACTTCTACTTCAAAGTCTACCGGATTCGTACGATCAACTCATCATCAACTTGACAAACAGTAATGTCACCAGTCTAGTCTACGATGACGTTGCAGCTGCTGTTCTACAAGAAGAAAATCGGCGCAAGAACAAGGAAGACAGACAAGTAAATCTGCAACAAGCAGAAGCGTTGACAACGATGAGAGGGAGATCAACAGAACGTGGCCAAAGCAGCAGTCATAAACATGGTAGATCGAAGTCGAGGAGCAAGAAGAATTTAAAGTGCTACCACTGTGGAAAGAAGGGTCACTTGAAGAAGGATTGTTGGAGTCTAAATAAAAACTCCAATCCACAAGGCAATACCACAAACACTTCAGATGATGGAGATGATCTATGCTGTGAAGCGTCAACCACCGTGGAAGGCAGAAAAAGATTTGCAGATATATGGCTCATTGATTCGGGAGCGACATATCACATGACCTCAAGAAGAGAATGGTTCTATCATTATGAACTTGTCTCAGGAGGATCTGTGTATAGTTGCAATGATCATGCCTTAGAGATCGTTGGTGTGGGAACCATCAAATTGAAGATGTATGATGGAACAATTAAAGTTGTTCTAGATGTGCGGCACGTGAAAGGTCTGAAGAAAAATTTATTATCCTACGGATTGTTGGATAATAATGCTAGCAAGATTGAAACACGGAAAGGAATCATGAAGGTGTTCCGTGGAGCGCTTGTGGTGCTGAAAGGTGAAAAGATAGCTACAAACTTGTACATGCTGAAGGGAGAGACATTGCTAGAAGCAGAAGCCTCTGTTGCCTCATGTAGTTTAGATTCTGCAATGCTATGGCATAAGAAACTTGGACACATGTCAGAACAAGGAATGAAAGTCCTTGTGGAGCAAAAGCTACTTTCAGGCTTAACAAAGGTATCACTTCCTTTGTGTGAGCATTGCATAACAAGTAAGCAGCACTGGTTGAAATTCAACACATCAAATTCTAGAGGCAAAAGTATTCTAGAATTGGTTCACTCTGACGTATGGCAAGCACCAGTAACGTCCCTAGGTGGAGCAAAATACTTTGTGTAACACCCCCAACCCGTATCCGACCCGGATACGAGTCCGAAGTGTCACATTGACTTTTCAAACCTTGACTCTTAAGAAAAATCCCGGGAAATTTAAAACTTTATTTAAATCAAAATCAAGACTTTATCAGAGTGCTCGTACTTAATGACTTATTACATGCCAACACTTTATACATAACCAAATACATACTTTGTCAAATATTTCTGATCTGATCTTTTGGTAAGGAAAACTGACCTGTCTTGCTCCGCATCACTCCTTACTCTTCTCGAAACCTACGTGTGAAACAATCACACGCTAAGTCGAAGACTTAGTGAGGCATAACAACTTATAATGCACTTTAAAACATATA